TAACAGAGCGGCTAAAAGAGGTCAATATATCTGAAATGCGTAGGGAGACACTGGTCAGAGAAATAGCAAGCATCGAACTTAAGCTAAAGAATCCTTTAGGAGTCAGGAATCGCGGGAAGAACTAAAAGCCATAAATGAAATCGAAAGAAACCCAAAGTATTTCTTCTCCTATGCCAAATCAAAATCGAGAACAACGTCCAGTATTGGGCCCCTACTTAAACAAGATGGGTCCACCAATCACAAAAAGATGGTCTAACCCAATTCCATTTTAGAAGGGTAACCAACTAAGTCCAAAATAAATTTTTTTAGGGGGCCCTTTTATTAAACAAATGATTGTTTTTGACCCAAATTTTGATTAACAGGCATAAAAACGGGCCCTTTGCCCCTTTTCCCCCCCCAACGCCCGGGGAATTTGGGTTTTCCAAAAAAGAAACCCCCCAACGAGCCTTTTCCCCTTGGGAGGGGGGGACCCGGGGTCTTTCCCACAGTTACTAAAAACAACAGCTCCCCACCCCAAAGGGGGGGGGAAAATCAAAGCAAAGAACTAAAACCAATAGCATAAAAATCCCATACAAAAAAATTTTTGAAAGGGCCCTAAAAGAAGTTTACCACCATCAAAACCCATCATTTACAAACCCGGGCAACAGGGTTTAGAAAACGGGCGCTCCTGTCTGTCTCAATTTTCCACTACGACAAGGTCCAAATGCACTAGAAAAAAAAAAAAGAAAGATGAAATAAACTTTGCAAAACCCTTTCGAAAGTGTGACCTGGCGTAATAGCGCAAAAAAACGTCAAAGGAATAAAAAAACCGTGTTTTAAATTTCCTCACTAACAGAACACAGAGGTATCGTCAAAAAAGTAAAGTGGGGGAAAAACTCGGTAAAAACCTTTCCCCCATCTGCCCCCCATCTTTTCCCTTCCCCCCTTAACCGCCAAAAAAGATGCACCACGCACCGTGTTTTCCCTTCTTTGAACCCCCAAAACATTCTTCCATTGCAAAAACCTGAAAGCCCCCACAGAACCAATTTTTTCAGTTGGAAAAAATAGAATTAACATAGTTTTTCAAACCCAATTGGAAAAATGAGGAAAAAACCACCAAGTCAAAAAAATTTTGGCCCCCAAAATAAGGCAAAACAAGTAAAAACCTGGGGGGAAATTAGGGGAGGTTTATTAAGGACCTTAAAATTGACAACCCTTTGTAAAAAAATCGGGATGGTTAAATTAAAAAGGGGACCCCCAAAACCCTTTTTCAGGCATGTTTTCGGGCGGGAAATTGGGGAATAACCCCTTTTTAAGGGGGGTAAACCTAAAAAGACAAAAATTTTTTGCCCCCAAACGAAAAAAAACCCAATTATTACCATTCCTAAATTTTTTTCCCGGAACGCAAGGGAAAAAACAATTAAAAAACCAAAATCTGGGGACAGACCCTTAAAACGTCACCCACAAAACAAACAAAAGCGGGCGCGTTCACCCCCCCCAAAAAGGGGGGTACACAAAAGGCCTCTAAGTGGGGGGGCCCGACTTTAACCCCCAGACCCCGGGGGAAAAAACCCCCCGGCAGCCAACGCCGGGGGAAAACCAAAACCCCGAACCGGGGGGGTTTTGGGGCGTCCCCGAACCAAAGCCTTTTTTCCCGGCCGTTTCCAAACCCTGGTCCGCCGGGGCCCGGGGGGTTCCCCCCCAATCTCCCAGGAAAATTTTCCCCCCCCCCCCCCCCCCCCTTCCCCCCCCCCCCCCCCCGGGAGGCTTGCCGCCCCCCCCCGGGGGGTAAAGCCCCCTCACCCTGTGGGTTTAACTGTCCCCGGCCCGGGGGCCCCTGGTGGCTAAAGCTCCGCTTCCACACGAATGAAAAGCAGGGGGGTCACTAGCCGTTTAAGAGACCCCTAAAAAAAGTGTCGGGGCCCCAACTGTTCAACTGCCTCCCACCAATAAGGGGGATTACCAACAGACCCCTGGGGTCTTTAAGCGGCACTGGACAAGACCTAAAGTCAGTTCCCGATCAGCCGGGGTGTGGTGTACGTTGGTTTTTTCGTGACCAGCCAACAGCCTGGTTGATCAGGGCTGATCCACCAGGAGGCCTGGGCACAGACGGGGGGGGGGCGTTGACCCCCCAAACTCCTCCAGGTAAAATCCAGGAGGGCCCGGGTTCGTTCCCCGGGGGGGGAAACATCCGACACGTTTCCTTACCCTGTTTTTTTTTCACAAGCACAAATAGGTACCTGGGGGTTTAGTCGACTGGTTGGTCGCATCCTGGGGGACAAATTAAGGGACCCAATGGAAATAAGTTTTGACAGTCCTCGATGGAACGCACGACTTCTTGGGGTTTTCCCGGGTGGCTAAACCCCCGGGGTTAAAAATCCGAACGAAATCTTATCTTATCTTTCCCAGGGCCCAGCCACAGTCCCTGCCCTCACAGGGCCGAAGGGAATGCTAGGCCTTGGTCTGCATCTGCCCCCCCCCAAAGGGGATCTTGGGGGGGCAGTCCCCTTTTGAGCTCAGATGGGGAATAATAAAATATAATAATATCTTTATTTTACTAAAAAACAAGGGATACAGTCCTGCTGATAACAATGCATACTACTACATAGAGGCCCTTGTTATGCCCGCGTTTCGGGCAAATTAGGTCGTGTCCCGGATGCGACCCCCACCAATCGACTAAAAACCCCGGTACCCTTTTACTGAGGGGAAAAAGAAACGGTTTAAAAAAAAAACATCCAATGTTTGTACTCTGGGGTGGGAATCGAAAACCCCGGGTCAGCCCCACAATAGAATTAATTGGTACAATAAAGGTGGGTTTTTGCCACTTAGTTTAATAGTTTTTTTATGCACCCCCAACCCACCTGGGGCGGTACAAAAGATTCAGAGGACATAATGGGTCAGGGATGGCCTCAAAATTTTGTAGCGGCAAGTTACAGAGGTAATGAATTCCAATTTACAAAGGGAATGAATCCAATTTCAAAGGTAATGAACTCCAGGTAGGGCTGTCACAATCATTAGATGTGTTGTGGTTGAGTATAGTGTGTGTGCGTGTGTGTATGATTTGTGGTGGTGTGTGGTGTTGTGTGTGTTTTTATGTGTGTGTGTGTATAATTTGTAAAGTGTGTGGGGTGTGTGTGTTGAGAGAAGAAAAAGAGACTCAGCAATCAAAATTTGCACCAATAACTTTACTACAGTTGTGACGGGGGTGGGAATGTGAATTGCTCATTTCCCCAAAATTTGTTCATGATTGCAGCCATGTAAAACTAAGTAACCCTTCTTTCGTATTCATTACCTTGTAACTTGTGAGTTCATTCCTTTTTAAGTAGTTTATTACCTTGTACCTAGTTTAGCCATCAAAACTTTGGAGCCCGGCCCCGGACCCATTGTGTACCCTTTAACTGTAAAAACCCTTTTTAGTTGCCACTGAGGGGTTTTTTGGCCCGGGAAATTTGAGCGAATTTTTCTTGCACTGTGATCCCAAAGTAGAAGAGGGAAACTTGAGTTTGTTGGCCTTAATATAGGCTTTATGAGATTTTTTTGTTTAAAGTTTATCTCTCTTTTTCCAGACATTTTTTCTAAACCCCAAATTTTTTTGAAGGGGTTTTTTGGTAGGTCTTTATCTATAATTGTTTCAATAAATTTATTTTGTAATGCATTTGCTTTGTTTTTTCGTATTAGCTTTGTAAATTTTGGGTCCTTTTCAATTCAGTCAGTTCTTTACAATATCCCTAAACTGAATAATTTTTCAAGTTGGTGTTTTTTTTCACTGGTTTAAAAAGGGGATGCTTTTTTGTTAGCTAGGGGCTTTTTTAGTTTTGCTGGTTTTGTTCGTCTTGATTGGAAAATTTCCTGTTATGGGAGTTTTTGGGTTTGAGAAAAAAAGTTTTGACATATTTCTGTAAATATTAGCCGTCAGCTAGTTCTCTCTCCCAATCAGTGAACCTAGTGGCCCGATGGCTAAATTCATGCACCCCAAAAAAGGGGAGATCTTTCCCCGAGTCTTGGAACAATTTAAATAATTTCCCCAAAATTAACCCGGGGAATAAACGAAAATATTTACTGTTTGCCTGTTTCATAGGGATGGAATAAAAGGTTTAATTTTTTATTTGCTATCGGGAAAACCCGTTTTCCCCACACTTTGGGGGCCCCGGGGTTTTCGTTTCCCCGGGGGTGGAAACATTTCGAAAACGCTTCCTTACACCTATTGTCCTGTTTACTTAGCAGCAAATGGGTTACCGGGTTTTGGTTATTTGCCTGGTGGGGGTTTTAAATCCTAGGGGGAACAAGATTGGGGACCCAAGGGGAAATAAGTTAGCCCCTCGATGTTTTCACTGACTTTCTTGGGTTATCCTGGGTGGCTAACCTCCAGGGTTAAAAATCCGAATGAAATTTAATCTTATATTAAAATTCCTTCGAATGAAAATTTGGAAAAAAGTCATTTAAATTTTTAAATATTTTCACACATTTCACTTTTTAAAAAAAATTTTTTTTGATTGGGTGAAGTTTTAAACCATATTACAACTTGATAATTATTTTTTTTTATTATTTTGTGAAACGGTAAAGTAAGGAAGACCTCCACCCAGTTTTATTGAGTGGTGGACAAGGAGAGAGAAATGAAAGTTTATTTATTTAGGGGAAAGAGTTAAAGGGAATTGTCAAAACATAGAACGTATGTTTAGTGGGAAAAGGGCCAAAAAAAAAATAAAACCCAACTTTCTTTTGGTGTCGTTGTATTTGTGGGGGAACCCTCTACTGTTAACTTCGGCTCACACAGGGGGCTGAAAATAGCAACTCATCTTTTGGTTGAGGGGGGTTTTTGGGATAAAAAAGGGGAGTAGTGAGAGTAAAAAATTATTAATAAATTGCAATAAATATGCATTATTCAAACGCAAAACACTTTGTTGAAGAAAAAATTTTATTTTCGATCACCCATTTTCAAAATTTTTACATAAATAGGATTTTTGTAGTAAAGCATGGCAGTCATCAGCGGTGGGGAAAAGCATTGGAGGCCTAAAAGATCATCCCTTACCTGGCACGGGATCCCCGTGATAACAAAGGCGGTTTTCCCGGGGCGAAAATCACCTTGCCCCCGGTGGTGTTGACCCCTGCGATTAACCCAAATGGGGTTTAAAATCGAGGCGAAAATTTTTGTTTGGGAAAGGGGACTGCGTTCGCGCTTCCCCTTAATATACCCCTCTTGAATTTTTTTATAGGTTTGTTTTCTTTTTTTCATAAAAAATATACCCCATTTTTTTTTACTTTTATTTCTTAAATAAAATACCCCCAATGTTTGCTTATTGGGAGAAAAATTTTTCAAACTTAATAAGGGTTTAAACTCTTTTTGAAAAAACAACCCTAAAGGGGTTTATGCAGCATTTTGGGAATGAGATTTTGCTTTCCCTCCCACGGGATGGCAGCCCCAAATTTTTTTTTTTCGGGGGGTTGGGGAGGTCAAGGTGTCTCCAGAAACAATGCCCCTCCTTTAAACGGGTGTTTGTTTTTATTTTAGCAAAAAAACAACACGGTGTTTATGGGTTTTTAAACCAAGTTTTAAGGTGGGTTTTTCATACTAAAAAAAATCTCTATGTTGTAATGTTCTTCAAGGATTTTTTTTTTCCTTTGATCCCCGGTGAAGGGCTTTTGAGGGTAAGTATAGGGGATCAAATTTTTTCCCTTCCTTAGGTAGAGCCTAATTGTTTTCCCAAATTTCCACCAGGCGTTTATAAAACCCCCAATTTTAAGAAACACAACGTTTTAGCTTGGGGGGGGGGGGGAATTTCTCTTAATGATACATTGAAGAAAAGGGATTTATTCGGAATTTTAGCCCGGGGGGGTTTTACCCCAAGGTTTACTGTAGCTCGGTTGGTTTTTGTTTTTCCAGCTAAAACATTGAGTGCCCCTTTGGGTTAAAATCCTCGATGTGGCGGGAAAAACATTGGGCTTTTTTCTTACCCCTTTTTTTTTCCCCTGTTAAAAATAGCTGAAAGGGAAAAACCTGGGTATTAGCCAACTTGTGTGGGTCGCATCCAGGGTACAAGTTTTAACCTAATTGCCCATAAAGATTTGCAAAACCTTGGAGGTTTATATTTTGAGTCAGGATGTCGCTTGAAGTGTATGAGTTGTATAAATGTCCCGGGAAGAAAATAAAATTTTTTATTGTTATTAAATGCCGGGTGCATCATCGGGGATGGGGGTTCCATCGCCAGGAAAGTGAAGCTCTTGCTTTAAACCGCGAGGGTCTGGGTTTGTTTTTCCCAGCGGGGGAGTAAAACTTTTTGGCCATTTTTATACTGGTTAAAAATTTGCTCCCCACATTTAAAAATGGGTCCTGGTAGTTAGTCAACGGGGCTTGGGTCACTTTCCTGGGAAAAAAACTAACCTAATTTCCCCAAAATCCCTTTTCAAAACAATGGTTTCTGTATAGTGTTGTCATTGATGTCGCTGGGGCCAATGTAAAAACCTTTTACATTTTATTTGTGGGAATCCTTACACACGTTGCCTCGGCTCACCTACAGAAAAAGTGTACCTGGATGTTAGTCAACGTTGAAAGGTTGGATCCTTGGGGATGCCAGATACCTACTCTGAGGAACTCAAATTTTCTCTCAAATGCCCTTTAATGCCCTCACCCCGAGGGAGATAAAAAAATAAAATGAACTCTGCAAAAAAACCCTATTTTAAAACCTCCTTTTCATTATCCACCTGTCATTTTTCTAGCGGGTGCTTTTGATACAATGTTATGGCCCTTTAAAAAGGTGAATCCCCGACATGTTCCTCCCGGTTTTTGGCTTTTGGTTTTTTCCGGTTTTTTTGGGCCAGAATTTGTTTTGTACTCTGATGAAGTTTTAATTTTCCCTCATGTTTACCATATTTTAGAAAAATTAAAATTTTTCTCATCTTTTAAATTTCATATTTTTTTCCCTGCAGCCCACTAAAGTTTTTGGTTGATGTCCCCCTGGACCCTTTGCTTTGTCTGCAAGGGAAAGACCCTGTCATGCAATTCGGGTGTCACTGAAAAGGGAAAAGACCCCGGTGCTGTGGCTGACATCCTTCTATGTTGGATTGAGGATGGGAACAAGATGGGACGGTACTGGGCCTTGTGGAAACGAGCTTTAAACCATAGCTCCCTCGGACTTTACTCTGTTGACGACAACCCCTCGGTTTTTGGGGAAAAATTTAAATAATCCATCAAACCGTTTTTCCCCTGTTTTTCCCCTTTAGCACGCTTTTGTGCGTTTTTAACCCCCAGGGCCCAAAATTGTTAAGGCTTTTGCCTTCGCTTTTGAAGGGGAAACGCGATTTTTTTGGGAAAATTTTGTGTCTCTCCCTGCTTATGTGAGTGTTGTGGATCCCTTTTCAAAAAAAACCCGGATCGTTAAAACGCTAGTCGGAGGTGCGCCTGCGTGTGTTTTGAAAAGTTATACGTGGGTTTCGTCTACGAAATACCCCCTTTCGACAGACGGGGTTTTGGACACCCTTTCGGACTTTTGGGCGCTATGGCCCATACAAGCTGCCCCAAAATTGGGCTTTGGTCCCGGGTTTTTAGGGCTGGTATGCTTGCAGGTTCCTTTTTTTGGGTTGAAAAAAACAATGAGACACCCAAATTTTCCCCTTTTGTATGTTGGGGTTTTTTCGGGACGCGGGGTCTACGAAAACCCTTACCCCCCAGGCCGGGGGGGGACGTCCCGCCTGTGTGGTGCAACGGGTAAAAAGGTGGCGCCCGGGTGAGACCGACAAAAGGGAAAACAACGGTGGACCCCGCAGCACTGCATCCCAAAGAAAAGATGGGGAGGATGAGCGGGGCCTTCAAAAACCCCCAAAAGGGTGGACGACGTGCTCGGGGTTTCCCCACCCGGATGTAAAGGGGAAAGTAAAAAAGCAGTGGATGCTGCAGAGGGGAAATTCGCCCAAAAAAACCCCCCTTCCCCCCCCGGGGGTCGGGGGATCGGGGGCGATTGGGTGCGGGGGACAGTGCGTCACCCCCCGGGGGAAGAGGAGGCACAAACCCCAAATTTGATATTGCCCAGTTTTGAAGACTTACAGGGGGATCCTCGATACCCGGGGACGGGGGTTTTAAACCGTTTCTTAGCGGTGTCCCCTGTGGTCGACCTGGTCTGGGGGGAACGTGGGGTTTTGGGGGGTTGGGGAAATAGGCGTACGCCCTTTTTATGTCTGTGGTGGTGTGGATGTGAGGTACTTTAGAACAGACAGCGTGGGCTTAGGGGACAAATGGGGGAGTGCAAAAAAGGGGCCCCCGTACACATGTGGGGGACGATGTTTAACCCGGGGGTTTCCAAAGGTCGGGAAAAATTTTTTGGGTGTGGGCTGCGACCCAAAGGGTTTTTAAAGGGGCCCCCCCTTTTAGAGAAGTTAAGTGGGGGGTGGGGGGGGAAAAAAGGGGCAGGTGCAGCATGGCAAGTCCAAGTCAGGTAAAAGGTGAGGGGGGAAAACGAAATGAAAAAAACCAACCAGGAGTTCAAGTTTTAATAAAATGAAGTCAATGGCCTAAGAGCAGAGGTCAAGAGACTTTTGGGTAGGGGATCCCCTAAAGACATTAAAAGGTTGACTTTTTTTTTTTAAACGGGAAAACAAATTTTTCGGTGTGGTAGTGAATTACGTGTGAAAGGGAATAAGGCTTTTGGGGGAAAATTTCGGACAATCCAAAGGTGGGGTTGTGATGGGATAAGGGAGACCACCCCTTTTTAAGCTTGTGCATGGGAGGGGGTGGGGGGGGCCCGGGTTGGGGCATGTGGTGGGTTTTGGGGGAACTTTCCAGGGGGGTTTTCGTGGGAGTATTTTTTTTTATGCCAGCGACAACAAATCGACGAGTAAAAGAGGATTTTGTACGCGATTTTTTTTGGTTTATTTTTCTCAAAAGTCTACCCTTAGTTTCTGTCGTGGCAGGTGATTGGAATTGGGGTGACCCAAAAGGAAAAAAAGACGTCAAACCCCGCGTGGGGGGGGGTTGAAATTTAAATTGGGGTTTTAACGGAGGTTTTTGGGCAGGGGGGCGATTGGGGGTAGGGGAAATTTTTTGGGGTACCCTGGGTGGAATGGGGGAACATACGTTTTTAGAAGGGGTTACGCTGGGGGGTTTTGGACGGGTTTATATCACCAACTTAATCCGTGGTGGCAGGTCGTTTGTGTTGATCGGGGTTTCTCGTTTCACCGTGGTTTTTTGGTAACACTCGGTGGGGGGGGCGCTACCGTGTTTTTTACTAGTTATTGGTTTTTAAAAATTGTCCCTTTTTCCCCCAAGGAGTGATGCGGGGAAATTTTTCGGTTTGGTGGGTTGATTCTGGAAAAAAGGGGAAGGGGATAGAGGTTTTTGTAGAGGGGGTGGCTTTCAAAGGCAAAAACATCAATACGGGGTTTTTTTATAGACGGTTAGGGGAAGGAGGGGGCCCGTGTTATAGTTTAAGGGAAGCAAAGTATTTAGGGGGACGCCCCGAGATTGTTATGGTACAGGCGGGAGGTATGACCTAGGGGAAATAGAGGCATACATAGTCAATTAGGGGAAAATTTCAGAATGAAAAAAACCGGGGGGCCTTTTGAGGGTGCAAAGGGGGATTAAAGGGGGTGTTTTGGGGGGGATAAACCCTATTGGGGGTTTCTGCGTAGTTTCAGAATGCGCCCTTTTAAGGGCGCCCGGACAGTTTTGTCAGTGGGGGTTCGGTGATGACTTGGTGGTTTTCTTTAAAGGGGAACAAAGGCTATTTTACAAACTGAGGGGGGGGCATAGGGACCTATGAGAACCAATGGTTTGAGAGAAAATGGAAGGGTAGAGAGGGAATCGAGAGGCGGGGGAAAATTTTTCCCTGCGTGGCATGTGGAAAAATAGGAGAGACGTGGATGAGAGGACAGGGAAAGGGTTGTATATAGAGGAGGGGGTTTTCCCAAGGCTTTTCCCGGGGAAAGGGGCCACTGGGAAATCCCCGGGTTGGGATGGGTTTAACCAGGTTTTTTTTATGTATTTTCATTGGGAATTTTTAAAAACCCACATTTTTGGTTCGATTTTAAATTCAATAAAAACAAGGTAGAATGGGGCGGGGAAGCGGGGTTGGGGGGTTTAGTTTTGGTACCAAAGGCCGGGGTCTGCGAACTTTGGAGGCATATAGGCCCATCTTTTTGGGATGGGGGCGGATTAAAAGATTTTTGCGCGTTTTTGGAAAAACCCGGGAAAATAAAA